TTCGTCTATTCACATACCCATTTATCTATTTGAGAGACCATGTTGTAGGCATCAAATTACTGCATTAATCAATTCTCTCATTCATTCATACGTTCATTCCATCGCATTCATCTTTTTGCTCCTCCATCTATCCCATTCTCTATCCAATTTGCCGGCTGACCGGCCTGTCGGCTAAATTACGGTTCAATGGACTAACTGACCGACTTGTCTTTACTTGCATTATTCAAAATGCTGGAGCCTTGCACCGGAATATCACCCCTGAGGACTGCATTCTGGTGATTGCTAGAGTTAAGTCGCTTACTGAGACATATTTAAGGTACAGTTTCTGGTGTTTTTACTTCGGCCCTGTCTTCGCAACTTGCACATTCATATTAACGGCCGCCTCTGGTTCCTGCTCTTTTTTCTCCTCATTTGGATCGGCCTCCACATCAGCCTCTACTTTCAACACCATTGTTTCCAGCCGGGCGATTGAGAGCTCAACCGTTGAATATGAAGTCACAGTGGTTGCGGACGATGTTGGGACAGAACTGAATCTTATTAGAGAGAGTGACAGGTGCTACCACTCCACCTGCTCATGCATTTCTAGCCTTTAGTCAGAGAGATCACAACGGGACTATTTCTTCGCAACTCACTGCCGATGTCATCCAGCTGTACACGACAAAATGGATAGGTCAGAACACACTCGGATAGAATGCAGTTAGCTCCAAAGTAGTTGCTAAGTAGTATGCTTGGCATGTACGCAGGAAATGAGTTGAACATGGGGAATTTTTAAGAGGACTGTGCCCAAACTATGGAATCTGGTAAAGGCAGCATGAACACTGGTGTTGCTGTAAGATGATATTCGAGGTGCGTGCAATACTAAAGAAGATGCCTCTGCCTGGGCATCACTAATGGTCTTAAATGTGCTGTTGACTTAAAAGAATAAACCTTAGGGTTTGTGCTGCTAGAAGCACAACCATACATACACCTTTAATTATGTTCACCTAATTATTATCAGTGCCTTACACATGGCTCAGCATTTGACTGGGACAGTTTTCAAATGTGCATAGACACCCCGTAGACAATCATGTTTGCATCGCCAACGAACTGATACGTGTTATGGCGTTGTGATTTTAAGTGTTTGATTGTGTTGAACATGTTCCTTCAT